TATATATATATATATATATCGCAGAACATAACTGGCCGATAAATCGTAGTCAGAGAGGGAAAAGAGGACAACAAATGAGGGCCTATATATATGTATATTGCAACCCCATCATTTTCCATTAGAAGCCTTGACCAATGGGCCCGAACAACACTCTGACGGTGCCCAAAAAAAAAAAAAAAAAAAACGGCGCAGTAAGAAACGCCTGGACGCCGGTTACCATACGAAGCGATTCCATATATATATATATATATATATATATATATATATAAGAAAACTTATGCTCCGTGAGGTTTCAGTAAGCTAGAGCAATCAATGAATTCAATCCGACCGGGCCATCGTCAATTTTCAATTCCCATTAGCTAAGGGTTCAGTCTAGATAAGAGCTGGGATGGTTGGAACACGTGTTTTTGGACCTGTAGCTAGAGAATTAAGAGAAGAAAAGTTTACAAAAATTGTTTCTTTAGCTCCAGAAGTTCTTTAAACTCTCTTTTATACCAATTTATTATTTATTTCCTGGTTTTGAGTTATATATATCGTCACAAACAGAACTGCCCGGTTAACCGTAAGCACAGAGAGAGTTCAAGACAACACACGAGTCACACATACAGATACATTTGTCGCGAGTCGAAGATTTATATTATATGTCTATTTGTATATAAATATTGTATTACATAATATTCTATTACATATAATATTTATGTACAAATATACATATAATATAAATCTTCAACTATCGAGATATATATGTATATATATATATATATATATATATTTATATAGTAACCGACGATCGGGACGGGCCAAACGCCCGAACCCGAACGCCCGAACGTACGGGGCCCTTTGGGGATGCGTTTGGCCGTTCGAGCCGAACGCGGACCAAAAAAAAAATACGTGGGCGAGCACGTTTTGACACCGCCATCTATGGCGATTTGTAATTCTTATTTGGCTCAACCAAATGACTTGACATTTTACATGCATGTACCTCACGTCACAGAGAACTCGCAAAAAAAAAAAACTCAGAAAAAAATAATTTTTTTTTGTCCCCAAAATAATTTTAGGCGAGGGTCGAACGGCGTCGGGTTCGGACCTCGTAAGAGACCATGAACGCCCGCATATACGGAGGTCTGTTTGGGTCACTCCGTACGTACGGACTAGTGACGCTTTATATATATATATATCGTGTATGAACGGTGCGCGATGTCATCCTCGACCCATAATGTGTGATGTGTTCACGACACTTGTTTTTTGTTTTGTGTTTCCAGATATCACGTCACTCAGTCTGTGGCTGTGTCATGAATCCTCATGATGACCGAAAAAAGTATTCGCTCCGTGAGCGTATGCGCCGTCTGCCACCATGCATAACGGACGGCCTTGACAAGTCAATTGCAGAAAGCAATGAAGGCAAATATGACCTTGACGACATAGATAAACATATAGAGAATATGACAAATGACCTCAACAACTCACGTGCTGTGCTATCGACATTGTGTTCTCGGGTGCAAACAATTATGTCGTCCTCGCGAAAAAAAAAATTGAATTGGATAACCGCGAGGCTCTTTGCACAATAGGTGAGCAACGGCTGCTGTGCGAGGAGGGCAAGCCACATGTCGATTCCACTAACCATTCGACTTAGTTCCTTGTGTCAGGCCTCGACATTCATGGCTGCACTGAAGTCCAACTTGGTTTCTCTTTGCTATAAGTTGCGGCCTCCCTATCAGGAAGCACGACCCAGACGCCCGACTCAGTCAGTAAATCCCGCGACAACTCTGGGTCGTATGTTTCCGTGTCGTGTCAGGGTTCGGGTCATGACGAGGAGCATAACTCTGTTGGCTGCGACGGTCGAAATTCTCAAAAGTCGAAGAAACAAAAACAGTTCGGTCATTGTCCCGGGCCCTCGAACTTGGACTCGTGGATCTAGATGAAAGCCTAGTGCTCGGAAATAACAACCCCAACGATGTTGGAGCTGTAATGTCAAAGTTGAAGCCTCGAAACGGTGTGTGGAGGCTTGTCGTTTGTCCGCTATACACTATCTGCAAGATCAAACCTTTTTCTGGATATTTGTTTCCCATGTTCCGCGCACCGACACTGACTTCCACCGCATCTATTGCAGATACTCACGACGCGACACTATAATGGAGCAGCCACAACCTCAAGCACCCATCAATGAAGATGATGGGGACATGGTGTACGGTCGTCGACCAAGACGTAGAGTTGTGCGCGGTTGAGGGGGCCCCGGGCTTGGGCCAACAGTCGTCGCGACACGTCGCCCACGACCTCCTCCACCGCAAATGAACGGGGATGAAATACGAGCAACATGGCTGCATTCTGCGTTTTTGGTTGAGACCGCAGTACAAATTGTCGGTGAGGAGGACCGCAATGAGCAGTTTTTACATATCCTCGTTGGAAATGATCAATTGGACGGGGCGGCTAACAGATTCACAGGGTACAGGGAGTTCGCGAACCTCTGCGGTTACACTCGCCGTCAGAGACTGCCGGCGGAATTCGAGGAGGCGATGCGTATGAGGTGGCCTAACCCGCATAACGATGGTTACGTCGGCTTTATTCCTGATCCACGTGCTCCGACTGATAATGATAACCCTCGTCGTGGGTAAATGCTAGAGAGAGAGAGAGAGAGAGAGAGAGAGAGAGAGAGAGAGAGAGAGAGAGAGAGAGAGAGAGAGAGAGAGAGAGAGAGAGA